ACCCAGATATTTATCTGCTGTGTGAAGGATGTCAGCAACAGTTAAAAGAATGTTGGGTTCTGTTGAAATAACAGTGTAGACAAGGGAAAACTGTCAATTTGCCATTTTCACATTAGAACCATGTTCAAAGAACTAGATTTGGCAGATCTGTCTTTTGTTCAATAGGGAAGACATTAGTAATCTGGAGCCAAGAACTGGGAGAATAAGGAAAACCTCAGACAGAGAAAAGAAGCTAGCAGTTGCTATTGTAAGTACCTGTAGGGCACTGTTAGGAGACTCAAATTAGCAGAAGCTCTACTATGGAGTTTCTGTTTTACCTTTGCACAATCTTGTCAGTCAACAAGATTTTTGTGTTATTCTCTTCAAGTTCTTTTTTTCACACCCCTTTTGGAAATTGCATAGCTTAAAAGAACCGCATCCACATTCTTGTGGCTGAGAGTTAGTTTTCCAGGCTAACTTTAGGTGTCAAGGGATGGATGTGGCAGTTTTCAGAATCAGGAGCTTGAAACACTTCTTGATTTCTACAGTGATGACGTATTCAGAGGAAACAATTTTTGTTACAATTTATTTTTCAGCTGAGAACTCTATTAAATTTATCTAAATCATACTGTCCTATCTTTTGAAACTTACTGAAATCAAGGTGAGGGGAGAGGGAATGTTGAAAGAAAAATCTTCATCAGGGTCCAGTCCAAGCTGGGAATAAACAAAATGGAGACTGCTTTAGAAAGAAGGTTGCAGTTTATTGAAGAGCAGAGCCAGACAGCAAGACAGCTTCTAGCTTCCTGGTTCCAACCTTCCTGAATGGATTATTACATCTGCATTTCTAAAAACTAGTTTGTGCTTGGGGGAGAGGGGCTGGGACTGATTTTGGGGGGCTGTCTTTTTAAAGATCTTCTCCATTATTCCTTTGGGGAAACATATCCTGCCTTTTTAATATTCCCCCAAATATTTATTCCTCTGGATTCTTCCCATGGGAACATAATCAGCAGCTATAGTATTTAAAAAAGATCAAAATGAATGATGAAAACTTCTCAATACTAAACATTCCTTTTAGATGGCTATATCCCAGAGGCTAAAAGGATTTCTGAATTCTAAGCCCCAAGTTATCCAAGTTCTGTTTGCTCTAATGAATTGCAACATTAGAAACTGACAAGTCATAGAACACCTCCAAATTTTCTGCAACTAGCTGAACACTGAACACGCTAAAATTTTACAGCCAAGAGAATTGAGCTGTTCTTGCCTAGCAAGATAAGTAATTAGCAAATAAGAATTGATAATTTGGTGTCTTTAGCAAAGTAGCCCAAGTCAGTACAAATCAGGCTTGATGGACCCCTGAACTGTATGGAATCAGCTACACAGGCTGTCCATTCTTCATACAATACTTGAAAAATAATACAGGATAAAATATGAAGTAATGATGGGTTTGATAACAGCATACCTGTTGCACAATTCTGATATCACCCTGTTTGTAAATTTTATTTAAGCCCATCACAAAGCCCATCAATATTTCAGTGTGGAAAGCGGAGAAGCAAATAGCCATGATCTCAACCATGAGAACCTCATAAGGGCCCTTGAGTGCTGAATGGCTTGCCTGAAGGGACCAGTTCCAAAGATCTTACAGCGCCTTTCATTAATAGCTGATGGAGCAGACCAGAATTTTTTAATCTTTTTTTCACTTTGGAATATTTCAAGGTTATCTAGTGCTTATCCTGATATAAAACAGATTTCAAATAGCTCTATTCTCTTTTTTTTCCTTTATTTTTAAAAGAGCAGAGTGGTATTTGTTACTGAATTTAATGGAACAGTGCACCAATATAAAACACTACTTATATTTTAAACAAACCATTAAAATACAAGACTGTATAAATACAATCTGCTTTTCTGGGAACTCACTGGAGTTAAATGATGAATGGAAAAAAAAGATAGCTAATCTCCTTTGAAATATAGATTTATTATGTTTTTTTAAGTGAAAACATAAAAGATAAAAGTAATAGAAATAACAGCTAAATATATATGACTGTTAATGGAAGCCAGAATTGTCAGTTTTTGTTAAATATAAAGAAGAATTAGACTTCCCAATTTTGACATAAAACTCCAGCAACTTGACCATATAAGCTCATATGATAATCCTCGACTTACGACTCCAATTGAGCACGCAATTATAGTCCTAAATCATGGTGATCAAGTCATTAAGTTGGTCATCATGTGACCATGCCCAATTTTACAATCTTTTTTCACCTGACCAAGGGTAAAAGCAGTTCATTGGGAATTCTATGAATACTGCTTAGCATCAGATGTAATATTTTTCTTAAGTTATATGTAAAAAAGCTTACTTGAGCTTTTATCTAGCTGTAATTGTAAAAACATATAAAATGTTTCTCTATAAACTGAAAGTGTTGCCTTGTAACTGATGCATGTTAGTGCTATGGAAATAATAACACTGCACTAGCAATTGTAAACTTCATTTCTTGGGTTTCTGCATCTGATTGCTAGAAAATTTGCCCACCTGGAGAATAAAACAAGAAAACAAAACAGAACATAGGGGAACATAGGAAGGAACTCTTTCTCTCCTTAGGCTACTGAATGTTTCCTAACCTTTTGTTTGTATTTAAATCTCCTCCTCCTCCTCCTCCTCCTCCTCCTCCTCCTCCTCCTCCTCCTCCTCCTCCTCCTCCTCCAAAAGAGTAGGAAATGCCAGTTTTTCTTTTGGGGGTACAGGACTTTTCTTTTTAATTTTTTTTTCTTTTTTCAAAAACAATATGCTGACATGTCTCTTAACTCTCTGTGGTCCAACTTTTCTGCCTTGAGAATTATTATGGAAACCCTATGGATTTCTTTGGGATATTGTCTGATCCCAGAGCTGTTGGAGCTGGGGTGTAAAACCTTTGAGATGGGAGAAGGAAGGAGGAAGCAATCTTGAGTTTGACCAGATTGTCTTCACCATTGACAGTCTTGGATCTGCTAGAAGTTCTATTATGTGCAGTCTATGACCATTTTTCAGATGTAAATATTGGTAAGTATTCGGGAAGGGAGGTAAGGATTACACAGGAATTCATGATAGCTTCCCTGGCTGTAAACTATTTGACATGATTAAGTATAGTAGCCAATCTGGGAAATTAGCCAGTAAATAATGTAATATGTCTGACTTTCAGTTATCTGATTTACAAATCAAGGATGATTCCATTGAATCAGAACTCTCCAATGTGGTATCTTGGGTATTCTTAAATAAATCCATACCATGACATGTGTGTGTGTTTGTGTGTGTGTGTGTGTGTGTGAGAGAGAGAGAGAGAGAGAGAGAGAAATATATGAAGTAGTGCATGGGTGTGGCAGAAGCAAGGATAGTTTGCAAAGATAAAAAGGTACAAATATAGCAAATGCCCATTGTTGCAAACTTGATTTAGTTACTTTCCTTTTCTTAGATTTTATTGCCGGGCTTTGATTTCTTCAATTTACCATTTCATTTTCTGTATATTGTGCCTTGATGTCATTGAAGCTGAACAGATATTGGGAAGCTGTGAGGATCTGAATTGGCTGATATGAATGCAAATAAAAGCTTACCAATACCTGTACAAAGTTGTTTGTGGACAGCAGAAAACACATTCCAATAATATTGTTCCTGGTAGCTACCATGCGGTCGCTCATGACTTGGGGTTCTGCTGGACTCACAACTCTTGTTCAAGACATAAGTGGAAGGCGCAGCTGGGTAGCCATTATCCAGCTGTGGCTGGTGCAATAGTTATGACCTTACCTGGACCAGGATGGCTAGACTTCAGTCATGCATGGCTGAATCCCATCTTAACTGAACTGCTGCAACAAGGTCTATGTGAAGCTGCTTTTGGAGACAACACAGAAATTATAGCTGAATTTTGAGTTTATGTTTGTTCATGTAAAACATAGGTAGCAGCAAACGTATTGGCAATTCAGGCCCATCAGTACAGAATTGAAACTGTATACAAAATAACAGCATTGGTTACCAAAAACTTTCTAGACCATGGGTGTCAAACTCGCCATGTCACTTGATGTGTCGCGACGTATTGCGACTTTTTTTGCATTGCCGGAGCTGGGGTGGGCGCGGCCTTCTTATGATGCAACTGGCCCACAGGCCAGTAGTTTGACACCCCTGTTCTAGACTCAGTTCAAAGTGCTGGTCATTATCTTTGAATCCTTAATGGTGCAGCATTAGGATACAATAGGCAATGCTTTGCCAAAATCGAATCTTTCCATCTGGTCCTCTCAACAAGACAAGCTGTGTGGCATGAGATCTTTAAAGCATGGGTTAGATGGCAGACCTTCTTGGTAATAATAATAATACCCAATGAAATACTCCTCCCCTCAACATGTAGCCCCTCTTTGCTGTACTGTCATAAACAGATTGAAACTTTTATTTCAATGAGCTTTTAATCCCAGCTGACTGGGACTATCCTGGGTTTTATTTGGGGTTTATCCTTGGTGTCTGTGATTATTTTAGTAGCTATTTATTTTTTGTTGTTGATGTTGTACATCAGGGGTGTCAAACTGGCAGCCCATGGGTCAGATGCATCACATGCAGGCCACGCCCACCCCGGCTCCACAAAGGCAAAAAACATCGCGATACGCCAAATATATCACATGACGTGATTGAGTTTGGCATCTGTCTTGTACACCATCAGAATACTTTGAGATTTGGAGAGTTTCCGGATGACGATGTTGGTCCTAGACCCTGGGACACAAACTCTCCATGCCCAGGGTCTGAATTTCTGTCGCTGGCGGGCCCATTAGGGCTGAATGCCACCCTGGAGGGGTGGCCACCGAGAGGTGAATTCTTTAAGGCAGGGGTAGGCAACCCAAAACACTCAAAGAGCCACTTAGACCCATTTCCCACCGAAAACAAAACACTGGGAGCCGCAAAACCCTTTTGGCATCTAAAATGCAGATAACGCTGCATATATCCTTTTTTTAACCTTTGTGCTATGTATAAAAAATTATAGTGTGTTGCATTTATGAAATCAATGAACTGCTACAAAGAAAACATTTTTTTATTTCTGCACTGCATGCAAGAAAAACATTTCGAACTAAAAAAAAAGATGCTGGGTTGAAGGTTACCTTCAAGTAAAATACCAAATGTCTATTTGAGTCCTCCTCATATTTATTTATTAAATAACAAGCCAAACTTAACTTATCCGCCTGCAGCAAACCCAAACATTGTCTGCTTGTCATTGCGTCCGTCCATCCACCCATCTGTCAGACCGCTCATCTGTCCGCGTATCTTCCCGCCCGCCAGTCCATCTGCCCATCCGTCCGATCATCCGTCTGTCTGCCCATCCATCCGTCTGCCCGTCCATCTGCCCATCTGTCCATCTGTCTGTCTGTCCATCCGTCTGCCCGTCCACCAGTCCATTTGCCCATCCGCCAGTCATCTGTCTGTACTGGAGCATGCAGTCAGCTGACAATGAATTAAAAAATAATTATTTCACTGAACGTCAAATATATATTTGCAAAATAATAATCAATTTTTATTTCAACATGCAATAAAAAACATTTTGAACTCCAAAAAAGAAGACTCTGGGTTGCAGGTTACTTTCAAATACAATAACAGCTATTTGAGTCCTCCTCATATTTATGAAATAAAAAGCCAAACTTAACTTATCCACCTGCAGCAAACCCAGAATGCTGTGCTTCTGTCATTCCATCCATTCTGTCCGCCCACCAGTCCGTCTGCTTGTCCGTCTGTCTGCCTCTCCATCAGTCCATCTGCCCATCCCTCAGTCCATCTGCCCGTCCGTCAGTCTGTCCATCTGTCCGTCCGTCCGCTTGTCCATCTGTCTGCCTCTCCGTCAGTCCATATGCCCGTCTGTCAGTCCATCTGCCCGTCCGTCCACTCGTCTGTCCATCTGCCCATCCGCCAGTCCATCTGTTTGTCTGTATTGGAGCATGCAGTCAGCTGTCAACCAATAAAAAAAGGACTATTTCACTGAACAGCACCAAATATATATTTGCAAAATAATAGCCAGTTAAAATATTTACTTTACCTGGTTAATGTGATTTTTGCTTCTCAACTTCAGCACACAGCATCTGAACATCAGGGCTGTAAGACGTCACCTTCAGCTTTAGACAAGATTGCAGGCTATTGTCTGTGAGGCATGAACGATATTTGTTTTTAATGTAATTCATGTTTGAAAAGACCTGTTCACATACGTATGTGGATCCAAAGATCGACAGGACTCCAAATGCGTATTTTTTCATATTTGAGTAAGTGCTGGGGATGGCATTCCATGTGTCGAATATAAGTTTGTCCTGTTTGGGAAGGTTTTCAATGTCACTCCATTTGTGATTCAGCGCAAGATTGGCCTTCTGACGGGCAACATCTTCAAGATTATCTCTCAAGCGTTGGAACTTGGACACCCATATATCTTTGTCGGCTATGTCTGCAAGTTCTATCTCCAGGTCGGGTTGACTTACCCCTGCAAATGCAGTCATATTAAATGCAGATGGATCGCTGGTCAGGGGAGTGACAGGGAAAGATAATGTGGTTTTTTCCTTTCGGAACTCACAGAATCGCTTCCCAAATGATGTCTGCATTGCAATGATTGCAGACTGCAAATACTCTGAATTTATCGTATTGTCACCTTCTTTGAACTGTCGCAAAGAGGGGAAGTGAGACAGTGTACCTCTCTGTAAATCTCTGCCAAACACTGTCAACTTGCGCTCAAATGCCAAAACTTCCTCCAGCATGTGCAGGGCTGTGCCGCCTTTACCCTGAAGAATTGTGTTCAGTGTGTTCAGGTGTGCTGTCATATCAACCATGAAGTGTAGCTTTTCCAGCCACTCTGGTTGTTTCAGCTCAGGAAAGGTGAGCCCTTTGCTGCCCAAGAAAGTTTTCACCTCTTCCAGACATGCAGCAAAGCGTTTTAGCACCTCCCCTCTGGACAGCCACCGGACTTTGTTGTGCAGCAGGAGATCAGAATATGTGCTTTCCACCTCCTCTAGTAGCAAACGGAACTGACAGTGATTTAAACCTTGTGCCATTATTTTATTGACAACCTGAATGACAACATTCATCACTTCTGTGCATTCCGGAGGAAATGTTTGAGCGCACAACGCCTCTTGGTGAAGGATGCAGTGAAATGTTAGCAGCTTTCTACCCAGCGACTTCTGCAGTAAAGCCACAAAGCCCTTGTGTGCTCCTGTCATACTCGGTGCCCCATCAGGTGGGTGGTGTTTATTTCATTGGTTCTTAAATAATCCAAGACAGCCTCACAGATGTCCTCTCCCCGTGCTTGGCCTTTTAGTGGTATCAACTCAATCATTTCTTCCTGTGGCCCAGCAGAGTTCACATATCGGCAGAACAGCGCTATTTGTTCAATATCATTTTTGTCTTTGGATGCATCACAGGCAATTGAGAACGCCTCAGCTGAATTGATGTCTTTAATTTGCTGTCCGGTGATGTTTTCCGCCATTTTTATGGTTCGATCTTTGACAGTCTTCGCAGAGAGAGGCATATCTCTGATTTTCTGCACAATTTCACTCTTGTTTTTGAAGTCCGAGAATAGAAGTTCTGAAATCTTAATGAATGATTCCTTGATATACTCTCCATCTCTGAATGGCTTCCCATGTCTGACTATTTCCTGAGCGGCCACAAAACTAGCATATGTAGTCGAATTTGCAGACTTCACCCACTTCTGAAAATGATTCTTGCTCAGATCAACCTTCCGCATCAATTCCGAAATGGCTTTTTTTCTCTCATCTCCATCCGGGTATTTTTCAGCAAAGGCTGTGTGTTTATTCTGGAAATGTCTTGCAACATTCGACTTTTTGTTGTTTGCCAATTTCTCATTACATATTAAACATACTGGTAAACCAGTCTTGTCAGTTGTGAAAGCAAATGAATGTGCCCATGTATCATTAAACACTCTGTTTTCTTCTGAATTTTTTCTTTTCTTGCATGATTTATCCATGGTTGGCCTACTGGAGGTTGAAAAGCACAATAAATCTCATGCTGGCGGGTGTCACATATTGGCAGTTATAACCAGTACTGGGAATCAAATCATTTGACAATCAGTTCACAGCAACATTCCCCCACCACCACCACTTCCCCCCCACCCTGGTAGAGCAGTCCACTGCCACTGCTGCTTCCCCCCCCAAAATGGAGCACTCCACCGCTTCTTTACCCAGTGGCGAGGGTGGAGTTTGGGAGCAATCCTGCTGTTGCACTTCCACTTCCTTCAACTATGATCCCCCCTCTCCAGCCAGCCAACTCTTCATGAATTTAACATGGACATTAAAATGTTTCAACACCTTTACCAATATCACAAAGAAAAGTTTAAGAACTTTAATTGTGCTTGATCAGGTTCACTCATTTTCCTCCAGTCACTCTCTTTGCATCTCTTACCCACTTCATCACCCTCTGAAGCCAGAGGACTCATAATGATCCACATTCATACAGAGGATCCTGCAATCTAATCTGAGCTGTCATAATCTTTTTTATAGCAGGTTATGCTCTATCTCTCTTTGTCCATCTCTGTCTCTCATTACAATGTTCTCTGTTTTTCAAATATTTTTATTAAGGATTATAAAGGAAAAGAGTAAAAGCCGGTGCAAACAATAAAAACCACAAATAGAAAAATAGAAAAGAAAACAAATGGGGGGGAGAGAGAAAAGGACAGGAGAAAGAGGGGAAAAAAACCCTTTCTCCTTCATCCCAACAGGTAAAAACAATTTTAGCAGCTAATCTACCATATTTAAATACAGCATAATTATCCCCATATTTCATCTCTTAATTAAACAAACATCAAAATAGTTCATTAAACATTCTTTACTAAAAGTCTAGTCAGGACAACAACATATATTCATATTCTCCTCCTCTCTCTCTCTCTCTCTCTTCCCCCCCCCATCTCCCTCCCCCTCCCAGCAGAGCACTTACTTGGAAATAGGACAAGGACCTGCAGAATTAACCAACCGGCTTTCTTTTTCTTTATTCAGAAAAGTATTCCAGCAGTGTTCAACAAATCACTGTAAAGAGACGAATACCTTCTTGTTAAGCCATTTTATTTGGATGAGTTGGATTTGTGTTGTTAAGTGAGACATTTAATGAGTTTTGCCCCATTTGTGACCTTTCTTACCACCGTTGCTAAGTGAATTACTGCAGTCAATAAGTTAGTAATCAGGATGAGAAAGTGGAAATTACACATTGCAACTAAAACGGCTTGTAGTTCCCTGTGCGATGCAAGACATGATATTCAGGGGTGCTCCTGAAGAAAAGGCTGAATGCAGGTAGAAAGGGTTATATTCCAGTAAGGGGGTGCAATGATTACAATAAGCTCCTGCATATAGAATAGAATAGAGCTGGAAGGGACCTTGGAGATCTTCTACTCCAGCCTCCTGCTTAAGCCTGTGCAGACAAGTGGGGGTCTTTAAATAGTCATGTCCACTTTTCCCCCTTTTTTCCTATTTTTTGCAACGACCAGTTGCAGACATCCACATGTGTATGCATGTCAGGTTTGGAAGCCTCCCTTTAAGTCTGTGCGTGTGCACAGACATACACTGACTTAGGAGTGAAAACACTGCTGGTAGATCTTGTGGGATTTTTGCATGCAGTTTACTTGTGTGCGGGGGGGAGGGGGAGCAGGAAGCACGGAGCAGTCAGTCAGAGTCCAGATTGTTTGCTTATTGAGAGAGGGAGAGAGAGAGAGGGAGGGGGAAAGAAAGAAAGAAAGAAAGAAAGAAAGAAAAGACAAGAAAGAAAGGGAAGACAAGAAAGAAAGAAAGAAAGAAAGAAAGAAAGGGAAGACAAGAAAGGAAGAAGAAAGGCAGAAAGAATATGGGAAGGAAGGTAAAAAGAGAAAGAAAGAAAACAGGAAGGAAGGAAAAGGAAGATATAACCTTCAGCAAAGCAAAGTCCCTGCAAAAGAAACACATTTGCATACAAGCAGCTCCCCCCTCAGCCTCGCTTGCAAAGACCTTGCCCTGCCTGATGAGGCCCTTTACAATCAGAGCAGTGGACACGGTAAAGGCTTTGCTTGGAGCAGGGAGGTCCCAAGAAGCCTTTGGGAGCCGAGCCTCCCCCCCCACCAAGCCCTTTAGCAGAGTGAAGCCGGGGCCGTTTATAACGGCAGCAGCAGGCATAATAAAGGCTTTGCTTGGAGCGGGGAGTTCCCAAGAAGCCTTTTGGAACCTAGCCTTCCCCCCCCAAGCCCTTCAGCTGAGTGAAGCCGGGGCCGTTTATAACGGCAGCAGCAGGCATAATAAAGTCTTTGCTTGGAGCAGGGAGTTCCCAAGAAGCCTTTTGGAGCCTAGCCTCCCCCCCCCCAAGCCCTTCAGCCGAGTGAAGCCGGGGCCGTTTATAATGGCAGCAGTGGGCATAATAAAGGCTTTGCTTGGAGCAGGGAGTTCCCAAGAAGCCTTTTGGAGCCGAGCCTCCCCCCCCCCCCAAGCCCTTCAGCCGAGTGAAGCCGGGGCCATTTATAATGGCAGCAGCGGGCATAATAAAGGCTTTCCTTGGAGCAGGGAGTTCCCAAGAAGCCTTTTGGAGCCGAGCCTCCCCCCCCCACCAAGCCCTTCAGCCGAGTGAAGCCGGGGCCATTTATAATGGCAGCAGCGGGCATAATAAAGGCTTTCCTTGGAGCAGGGAGTTCCCAAGAAGCCTTTTGGAGCCTAGCCTCCCCCCCCGGCCAAGCCCTTCAGCCGAGTGAAGCCGGGGCCGTTTATAACGGCAGCAGCGGGCATAATAAAGGCTTTCCTTGGAGCAGGGAGTTCCCAAGAAGCCTTTTGGAGCCGAGCCTCCCTCCCCACCAAGCCCTTCGGCCGAGTGAAGCCGGGGCCATTTATAACGGCAGCAGCAGGCATAATAAAGGCTTTGCTTGGAGCAGGGAGTTCCCAAGAAGGCTTTTGGAGCTGAGCCTCCCCCTCCCACCAAGCCCTTCAGCCGAGTGAAGCCGGGGCCGTTTATAACGGCAGCAGCGGGCATAATAAAGGCTTTGCTTGGAGCAGGGAGTTCCCAAGAAGCCTTTTGGAGCCGAGCCTCTCCCCCCACCAAGCCCTTCAGCCGAATGAAGCCGGGGCCGTTTATAACGGCAGCAGTGGGCATAATAAAGTCTTTGCTTGGAGCAGGGAGTTCCCAAGAAGCCTTTTGGAGCCGAGCCTCCCCCCCCCACCAAGCCCTTCAGCTGAGTGAAGCCGGGGCCATTTATAACGGCAGCAGAGGGCATAATAAAGGCTTTCCTTGGAGCACAGGGTTCCCAAGAAGCCTTTTGGAGCCGACCCCCCCCCATGAAGCACTTGGGCCGGGTAATAAGAGGCCGTTTTGAAAAGGGCCAACTTACCTTTCTTGCAGTCTGTGAAGACTGAAGAGAGAGAAGAGGTTTGTGGGCAGTCCCACAAACGGCTTGTGGGCAGTCCCACAAACCAAAGAAGTTCGTCCAATGAATTCAAACTTCGCAAGTTTTTTTTTTCATGAGAAGTTTGAATTGATTGGTTGAACTTCTTTAGACCCTTTTTTTTTTGAAATGCACATGGGCTGGGAGCCGCAGGAGACGGCTCAAAGAGCCGCATGCGCCTCCGGAGCCGCGGGTTGCCGACCCGTGCTTTAAGGAAAGGGAGCTGGCAGTAGCCAGCTCCCCAAACTCAAAATAGCCTCTGGAACCAGCGAGAGAAAGGCGGAGAGCTTTGAGTCTGCCGCCATCTTCAACAGATCATCGGAGACAGGAGTCAGCTGTTTAAGGAAACAAGCAACTGATCTGGGTGAGATGATATTAGTTTTTGATGCAAAGTGGACCCTTAAAAAATTGCCTGCCTTTAACGATAAGCTGGAAGCCTAAGGGGAGGAGGAGGAAGGGAGTTTTTGCTTCTCCTCCCTCTCAAAAAGCGGTGGTTTCAGCATTTTAAAAACTTTTGAAAATCCTTTGAATTGAAGCTACATTTGAAAGAACCAGCTTGTCTCATTATAGAGGAGAAGAAAGACCTATTATTATTCTAATTGGGAAAAGCCACCTTAACTGCTCTTTCTTAGAACTTTTTGGAATGTTAGTTTTGTGTATTGACTGATGGAACTTTCTCTTTTTTTTTACTTTCTCCCTAAGTAAACGGTGAGGGAAGAAACAGCATCCCCTGGTGGTTACTCTTGCAATTTCTTTCCTTTGTTCTCCTGCTACACTATATTTTTTTGTTTACATTATCTTTGTTGACACAGCTGTGGTGTTTGGCTCAATGCCCAGACACTTGGCTGACTGCCCAGACATTCCTACCTCGTTTGAAGATTACTAAGAGAGACTCCTCTCTATTTTCTGTTTTTTTGTCCTTGCTTGGTGTTTGATTCCATTTGTGGATTGATTTTATTCTCTTTAAAATAAGGGAACCATAGAAGAAGTTTTTTTTTATGTCTACATTTGGATTATAAATCAAATATTCTTTTTTTCTTTTTTTGTCTTTTTTGTTCTTCTTTTTTATTTGTTACTCTTTTTTGTCAGTCTTGTTGTGTGGATATAAACATATTTTTTTATCTTTTTTCTTTTTCTATTTGCTTTTTTTGCCCAGAGATCTACTTTTTGATATTACTATTGCTGGATATTTTTATTTTTATTTTTTTTCTGAGGTTTTTGGATTGCATATATATTTTTGGGTTTTTTTTCTTCTTTATCTCCTCTCCTTTGAGCTTTTTGGTGGAATATAACTGGCCATTGGGCCCTACCCTTGGATTACAATTAATTGGGCCATCGGGCTGGATGTTGGATTACAAATAAATACAATAAACACAATAATCAAGATGAGTTTTTCAAATTTGGCGAAAGAGGTGAGGAAGGGATCCTCTGCTCCTGCATCAACCTCAGTTAGTCCCGCACTTCAAAAATCGATTACAACTTTTTTACAGCCAGACATGCAGCAAAAGGATACGCAAGCCATTCTCCAGGCAATTATAGATTCTAAAATGAAAATGAAAAAGGATTTTGAAGACTCTAAAATGGAAATGAAAAAGTATCTTGAAGATTTGAAAAATGATCTGCTTAAGATGGACCAAAAAATGGAATCCTTTCAACAGCCAATGTTAGATACTCAACAACGAATGCAAAATATTGAAGACAAGTCAGTAGTAGTAGACCAGAAATTAGAGGCTTTCCAAGATGAAAATCAGAGATTGGTGCAATCTAACACAGAGCTGGAAGAAAGTATGGCAATGATGGAGTTTGAACGCACATCATATTTTCTAAGATTCCAAAATGTGATAGAAAAGAGTGATGAGAACTTGTTACTATTGATGACTGAGTTATTGACGGACTTGCTTGGAATGGAAATGGATCAAATCAAAAGAGAAGTTGATCAAATTTACAGAGTGAATTCACATTATGCAAGAAGAAATAGAGTGCCTAGGGAAGTTCATGTTAGGTTCAGCAAAAGAGCAGTAT